CGCTGCCGTCGACTCCGCTGCTGCCTCTTGCCGCGGTGGATTTCCGGAGTCGACGGCAGAGCGATCAGGGATCGATTTTATCGCGTCTTCACTAGACGCGATAAGTCGATCCCAGAACATCGATTGCCTGCCGCCGGACCCTCTGGTAAGTGTAGATGTACCCTCTTCTGTTGCTCGCTCTCCCCCACCCTCACTCACTTTTACTAGGCTGGGGCAGGGGGTTGGGATGAGGGAGGGAGGTTGAGGGCTCTGGCTGGGGGTGCGAGCTCTGGGGTGGGGCCGGGGATGAGAGGTTTGGGGTGCGGGAGAGCGCCCTGGGCTGGGGTAGGGGGTTGGGGTGTCGGGGGGTATGGGCTCTGGACTGGGGGTGTGGGCTTCGGGTGGGGCCAGAAATGAGGGGTTCAGGGTGTGGGAGAGGGCTCCAGGCTGGGGCAGAGGGTTAGGGTGCAAGGGGGGTGACGGCTCCAGCTGGGGGTGCGGACTCTGGGGTGGGGCCAGGGATGAGGGGTTTGGGGTGCAGGAGGGAACTCCGGGCTGGGGGGTTCAGAGTGCAGGAGGGGGTGCAGGCTCTGGAGTGGGGCTAGGGATGAGGTGTTTGAGGCAGGAGGGGGCTCTGGGTTGGGGTCGAGGGGTTCAGAGTGTGTGGGGGGGTGCGGGCTCTGGGATGGGGGTGCGGGCTCTGGGATGGGGCCAGGGATGACAGGTTTGGGGTGTAGGAGGGGGCTTCCACCCTTCTGACGGCAGGCTGGCTGTTTGGGGAGGCTTAGCATTCCCTGGCCTCTTATATCCGCCACCTATGCTTGGGATGCTGTTTAAAAAGTTTAAAAAATTAAAAGATATTATAAGCTTAGAGGAAACAATTTTTTTTTTTATTTGCTTATATATGGCATGAATAAATACAACGTGCAAATTTATCATCTTATATGACAGAGATAAATCATGTATGCATATCATGAATCAAAGTTGTAAAATGAGCTAAAAATTCAATAAAAAATAAGGTATTCAAAAATTTAACAAATGGGGGGGGGGGCGCCAAAGACGCTCTTCCCTTGGGGCGCCATTTGGTCTAGGGCTAGCCCTGCTTACAATAATAGGCACCCTCAAAGGGGAAATCAATGTTGATACTACAGAATATTACTGATCTCCACTGTTTTCCAAAATTATCCTGAATTTCTCATACTTCCTTTTCCTACACATAACATCCCTGTCAGATAAAAAAAATCCCTAGTAAATCAGCTTTTTCCTTTACTGCACATAAGACAACCCATTCTTTAGGAGTTTTATTACCAGCATTCATCCTCCTAATCTTATCCTACACCTTGTTGATAGGAATATCCTTATTATTAACCTTACCACAGTAAGATTGTGCCAATTCTGCCCTTTCTCTGAGCTAATGGTTTCTTCCTTTTACAACGTATGAGATCAGAAGCACTCATAGTACATTTAATTATATTAAAAGCTGGCTTCCTCTCTCTAAACAGCAGTTACATTCTTTGTTCCACCAGTGCACAGATTTCCTTCCCTTCCTATTCAATGGAGTTTTTGGAAAGTACTTCTCAGATATATTAATACACAACATTCAAAGGAAATGAATAGATGTAATTAAACACAGCCATTGTATGCAAATTTCATCACTCTAATCAATATCTGATCTTATTACCACCTTCCCAAAGTTAGGAAAAAGTAAACACTGGTAATTTATAAAACATGAATAAGGATATTCAGCTACACATATAGGAAAATTATTGAACTAGAACTGTCAAAATGAATGTCTATATAAATAGCCAGCACATTATGTATGTTCTCCTTCTCTTTAGTTACACAAGTATATTACTCTTTATTATACATTAGGTAGTATGGACTTTAGTCAGACTGAACGGAACTGAATTAGCATAATCCAACATATACTGATCACATCTAAAAGGGTGTTGATGGTTTTGTTGTTGTTGTTCCATTAATGTAATCGGGTTCACAGATTTTGGCACCAGAGCCAGAATTTTACTATCAACCTCCTGGACTTTGACACTTTTCATTTATAACCTTCATCAATAGTAATACTAAAATTTAAATGTCTCACCTTTAGGTACAGACACACATGTTGAAATTATTAGCTTTGTAAGAGTTGCATAGGGATATGTAAGGATATATTGGAAAGTAAAATCAGCATGATCATTTTAGGGCTCGATTCTGCCATCTTTACTGATGTTAGCACTTTTCTCTGTTTTATAGGTCCACTGACTTCAACAGGATTATTTGTGTAGCAAGATATCAGTCAGTGTGAATAAATAGGGCATAACCAGGCCCAGTGTGATCATTAAGGCTCTTATCTTGCAAACACTTAAACATGTGCATAACTTTACACATGACTAGTCCTATTGAAGTTCTAAGTATCAGGGGGCAGCCGTGTTAGTCTGTATCCACAAAAACAACAAGGAGTCCAGTGGCACCTTAAAGATTAACTGATTTATTTGGGCATAAACTTTCGTGGGTAAAAAATCTCAGATGAAGAAGTGAGGTTTTTTACCCACGAAAACTAATGTCCAAATAAATCTGTTAGTCTTTAAGGTGCCACTGGACTCCTTGTTGTTTTTATTGAAGTTCTAAAGTACTGGAAGGATCAAGACCTAAATCATCTGAACATGTAAGAAGCAAAAAAGCAGAGGCAAAAAAACCAGAAATGTTATCTCTTACTCAATCCTGTAAATTTATACCAAACTTCAAGGCTCATCATCCAATGAGTTATATATACCAACACATTTTTTTATTTTTCATCCAGTATTGCTTATCCTTGTCAGTAAGGGGCCCTTCTTTCTACCTCTTCTTTCTCACTCTTGTATTTTTAATATTTTATTATAGCATGGCTTAAAAAATTTACCTGACACCTACTATTCAAAGGACAAAGCCAACTATTCAGGGTGAAAAACAACACTGCCATGGCCCACAAACCCACAACCCCTTGCAATACAAAGGAATACAAGTCTTTGTATTCTCAACAGTAAGACTGTCAATCACCTTTGTATTTAATACATTCTGAAAATGTATTTGATGCCCTCGCTCCATGCCTTTACAATAGCTTCTATCCCTTTCTGGCTTCACTCCACTTTTTCTTTTTAACATTGGTATTGTGTATCTTTTCCTGCATTGCTTCAAATGTCTTTTCCTTCTTCTCATTCTCACTCTATCTAGTCCTCTTCCTTTTCTTATATTGTGTTCTCTGTCTTCTTCCTTATAGTGTCTGTCTCTCCTTCCTTCCCAACACAAAAATCTCTCAAACCCCAGCTTCTCTTTTCTAACTCACTCCTCAATCTCCCTTCTCTCTACCAATCCGTACCCACATTTTGGTTAAAACAAAGTAGAAGCCTCATTGTTCCACCCCTCCAGTAGAAGGAATAATGCCACAGGGGCCATTGTGCTTCCTGACTGCCCACCCTGGTGAAGTAGCCAGCTGTGCTCCTCCAGCCATCTCTTCCCTGGTTGCATCTGGCCCACGTGCCATGGTCATAGAACTTGAAAATTTCCCCAGAGACCTACTAGTTGGAAGACTAAATTTACTAGCAAGAGGCAGATATGGAACATGTGAAAAGGACACAGCAAGGTCTCATTAGAAGCCCAGTCCTTCAGCCTCCATCAATTGTTGAGAAGCCAGTGGCTCCAGGGATTTCTACCAGGCTTCCCACAGGGTTAATTTCATTCTGCTACTATCTTCTCCAAAACATTTATTTCAGAGTTTGTTCTGAGTTAATGAAAGCCCATCAGACTTTTAGGCCTTTGGAACAAAACATTTGGCTCTCCCCAGGCTAAAAGTTCTTAAACTACTCTATTAGGACTACATAAATGTTACTATTTAATCCAACTTCCACCTGCCTATTCTGTGACTGCATTACATTCCTGTTCACTTTTCAAATTAATACCCTATATCATTAAAAAAAATACACATTACTCCTCCCCCTTCATTAATCCTTTCCCTCACAGAGGAGTATTCCTGGAATTGAAAATCCATTACTTTCTGCAGCCAAGGTTCCTGTACAGACAGGAACTCTACATCAATATCCAAATTATGTGTTAATAAATTTGTTTAAACTCCTGCCCTGAAGACACCACACTTCAAACATTTCCTGAAGAGTGCATAAAACCACTAGTAAATACATCACGAGTAACTGGTGAGAAAGCACTTTGCAGATATGCTGCACCGAAAGTTCTCTAATTCCAGTCTAATGTCATTTAACAATGACGTTGAATTTTATCATGTTCTTTTAGTCAGCCTTTTAAAAAAAATTGTGGACAGGAATAGTTAAAAACCTCCAGCATAAAATAATAATAATTTCTGCACTAAGGAAGGAAACTCATCCAACTTAACTATTACATATCAAAGCAGCAAATCTCATTAGTGACTTATTCAGCTACAACATATTCACTAATTTCTTTCCCGCCTCCCCTTCTATATCGAGTTTTAACAACCTAAGCTTCCCAGCATCACAACACACACCCCTCCTCACATCACCTGTTTCTCTTAAAGTGCCTTTGAAGTTCATTTCTCGAATTCATTCTTCTCCTGGGACATCACTGCAGCATCCATCCTGTTCTCTGGACACTTCAGTGCAATACTCTAAGGCCTGGACAATTCAAGGGGCTTTGCATGGTGTGCGTAACTGGGTGCACTCTCTGGTCAGCCTGGTCCCATAGTGCCCTCTCCTGAGGAGAGGGAAAGAGCTAGGGAGAGGCAGGGGGAGCGGGAAAGAGGAGAAAAGAGGTGTTGGAAAGGAGAAAGATTGGGGGAGAGATAGGAGAGGGGAGATGAAGCCAGACTCCCCCTCTCCCCCCACTCTGGCTGCTCTTTCTTCCTCTCCTCCCATTAGCCCCATCTCCCCTCTCTGCCCCCTTGCTGCCTTCCCCATCTCCCCCACAGCCCCCCTTTCTCTTCCCCTCCCCACCCGTCACTCCCCGGCTGTTCCCCGCCCCGCTCTGCCTGGTCCCTCCCCCCGGCGCCCGGCTGAGGAGCCGCCGTTTCCGGAGTACACAGAGCGGGGCTGCTGGCCGTGCTGTGCCGTGAGGGGGTGACTGGCCGTGGCAGGCAGGTGAGCGAGCGGTACGCCCGTCCCCCCGCGTCCGGGCCCGGCCCGCGGGCTTAGCTGTCTCCTCCCCTCCTCCCGCAGCGGCGGCTCCCGGGGGAGGCAGCAGCCCCACGGCTCGGCGGGCGGGGGCCCTGGTGGGGCGGGAGACCGGGGGATGGCAGGGGCAGCATTAACCCCCCCCACACACACACCGGGCCATGAGGGGAGAGCCCCTTAAGGGAGGAAGGGGGGAGTAATCGCCCGGGGGCGGCGGGGCGCCCCCTGGCTGGGAAGGGGCGCCTATGGGGGGGCTGTGAGGAGCCTCTCTGGAGGGGCTGGGAGGGTTAAGGGAAGCCGGCTGGGAGGGTTAAGGGAAGCCCCCCGGGAGGCAGCGTCGGGCAGGGGACGCCCCAAGGGAGAGGCTGGAACGCCCCGGGGCCCCTGTGGGTTGAGCCCCTCCGTCGGGGGAGTGCTGATGGCCGGCCCCCTTGCGGGTGCAGGGAGGGAAGAAGGGGGATTGGGGTGCAGCGAAGGGGTCGGGGTGCCATCTACACCACCCTCCACCCCACTGCTGGTGACCTGCGTGTGAGAGTTTCGGGTGAAACCGGCAGAGACTGCGCCTGCGGGAATTCCAGTGCACCTTCCTGCTAAATAGTGACCCGGCCCTGAAATACTCTCTGTGAGAGCGAGTGAATGTGAGAGCTGCCGCTGCCAGGCTCGAGAGAGGCCTTCTCTAATCTCACTCACTGGAGTCCGCCTCCCCGAGAGAGGGGAAAACATGATACAGACCCAGAACAATGTAGGCAGAGGGATTCTTAGCTCATGCAGGCACCAGCTTTCTATGGTTTTATAAACCCCCTTATCTCGAGCCTTGTACCCGTAAAAAGGAGTGAAATTGTGACCACTCTGTTGACTGCAGTTTTTGTCAGTGCCTTACATTATATTATTTTGTATGGTACTAGCTGGTGCTGTTATGAGACTGTGTGATTGCTGCTGTCTTTAATCACAGAAAGGAGCTATGTCTCTTATGAGCAGCAAAATTCTAAATACATTAATAACTCATTATGTGTAGCTAAAGCTTTTCTGAAGTACCTATAACATTAATATCTCCGTACTGACTGTCAATGTAGCTTGGTAAACTTATATCGACTCGCATGAGTTTTATTCATGATTTAAGATTTTTGATCTAGTGTGTTAATGGTGCCTTTTCAGTTTCCCTCACTCAGATTGTGTCAGTTTGAGAAAGTCCTGCTGTGTGGTAGTTATATACTTTAAATGAAGAATTGATAATATATCTCAAGGGTAGGCAACCTATGGCACATGTGCCGAAGGCGGCACATGAGCTGATTTTCAGTGGCACTCACACTGCCCGGGTCCTGGCCACCGGTCCAGGGGGCTCTGCATTTTAATTTAATTTTATATGAAGCTTCCTAAACATTTTAAAAACCTTATTTACTTTACATACAACAGTAGTTTAGCTATATATTATAGATTTATAGAAAGAGACCTTCTAAAAACGTTAAAATGTATTACTGGCACGCAAAACCTTAAGTTAGAGTGAATAAATGAAGACTCGGCACACCACTTCTGAAAGGTTGCAGACCCCTGATATATCTAGATATAAATTTAACATAGTTGTTGGTTTAGATGTTGAGACTCTATCACATCCTAGTCACAAGTATGAACCAGCCCTTATTTTATTATTAGTTATTATCTATTATTTTATTTATTTTTTCTAGAGGAACTTTGCATCTGTAGATGTTTGGATATTCTGATCAAGGGTGAGGTATAAATGAATGGTAGACAGTTAAGGAACATGCTTTCCTGTGTATTTTCCGGTACTTCTGGTAAGGCCAGAAATACTGAGACATCAACCTTTCCTACTGATATTTTGTTATTTCTGGTTCAGAACCAGGAAGTGCACAGGTGTGAGGAAATTAGAAATAATGTATACCGGGTTAGCCAAAACCTTTTTTTGAGGTTCAAAAGTTTTGGTCAATTGTTAAATAATCCCAAAGTAATGCTAAAATTACTGATATAAGATGTATTTTTTAAAAATTCTAAATTTACATGCTGAAACCATTTGTTTGCTCACCTGCACCCTCCCTCAGTGCCTTATGCCAATGGTTCGCAACCAGGGATACGTGTATCCTTGAGGGGTACACAGAGGTCTTCCAGGGGGTACATCAACTCATCTAGATACTTGCCTAATTTTACAACAAGCTATATAAAAAGCACTACTGAAGTCAGTACAAACTAAAATTTCATATAGACAATGACTTGTTTATACTGCTCTATAGACTATACTCTCAGATGTAAGTACAATATTTATATTCCAATTGATTTATTTTATAATTATATGGTAAAAATGAGAAAGTAAGCAACTTTTCAGTAATAGTGTGTTGTGACACTTTTTTGTATTTTTATGTCTGATTTTGTAAGCAACCAGTTTTTAAATGAGGTGAAACTTGGGAGTATGCAAGACAAATCAGACCCCTGAAAAGGTCACAGTTGTTTGGAAAGGTTGAGAGCCACTGCCTTATGCCATATTCTTCTAATCTTCCTTATCCTTTTCTCTTCTGAGGTCACTACACTCCAGCCCTCTTTTCTTTCACTTTTCCCCCAACGTCCATCATTCTTAAACACCTTTTCTTCCTTCCCACTCAATGCACCTTTATAATCATCAATTTTCCTCTTTTACAGAACTAAGGGAAACGCATTTTCCTGTCCTGTAAGGTAGATGCATGTGTATGCTTCGCTTTACGGGTTGTAGTGATTACATCTTTCTGTAGTGTCTCTTGTCTCTGATAAAATATGATGTCCTATGGAAAAATATGATCACTATAGTTGCTCATGTGGGGAAATTGCCACCCCAAAGCAATGTGGCAGAAGACTTGAAAATACATTTTTTATGGTGGTTCTTGGTGCAGTGGGGAGGAGTATAATGGTGGCACCTGCAATACTGTTAGTGACAGCAGATTATGGGATGATAGTATTAGTAATTATAAGGTGTAGGTCTTAGGAACAGGAAAGCACACTATCTCACATATATAAAGCTCCTTTTATTCCAAAAGGTCTCTAAGTACTTAACAAACTATATGCTCAGATAAATTAATGCACCACTGAAATGCAGATCTCAGATGAAATGTGGAACTCTTTAACAGTGCACAACAATACTACATGACAGTTTAGAACAGGAAGTGGAGAGTATCTTCTCATTGTAACTGCAGGGGTAATCGTAGGTAAGTAGAATGTTATTACTAGAGTTGGATGTTAGCCAGGACCCTACTCCAGCTTTTATAAAGAGTGCCAGGAGACCATTAATAACTACACAGGGGGTCAGGACCTTGGTTTTATGTCTCATCTGAAAGATGACTTTTACAGCAGCATGTGTAACTCCATTACAAAACAACGTGCTGGGGCTGGTTCAGAGGGCAACTGACCTGATTAGACTTTACAAAATCTAGCTTGTGATAACATCAGATCTTACAGAACAAGATGGTATGTCTAGATTCCAGACAGTGCTGTTTAAACTAAAAAACTCTGCTTAGTATGATAACTTTATAGCCATTGTAGAATTTGCCAGATGGAGGTGTTCTCCAGGTTCACAAGAAGTTAACAATTGCCTTGTTTTATTGGTCCTTTGTTTTTTAATCTTCTGTTGTTTGTTTACTTTTGGATAATTTCATGATTGGATGAGTATAGAAATGCATTTTAATAGCCTTATGTTATAAGAGACTCTTTACCAATTGCCTTATTTTTCTAAAGGGAGTAGTGGAAAAAATATGTGCACAATGCTTCTGTCCGTAAATGCCAAGTGATGTTTGAATCACTGTTGAGAGATGCTAGTCTCTGTCTTTCTGGAGAGTTCTTTTTGACAACCCGCTCTGACTTTGCCAAAACTAAACCAATCCATCTGAAACTTCCACATGCAATTTATCAGATTTGAATTTTTCTGTGAAATTTGAAGCAAATTGGACAAGGTGTCTTGGTGTTTAAAAATGAGGTATTTCCACTTCTTGGGAACATTTTCAAACCGTGTTTTGTATTGTCATATCTAAGAAATGGCTTGGCTTAGATATATCAGTTTTTGTTTTATTCTTTTGTCTTCAATAAGAACTGATGCTTTGAGTAGTCTAAGAACATTTGGGGTGAATATCCTATTATGTGCAGTTGTTTCAAGGTTATAAAACCTGGCACAGTGCAAGTTGTGGGCTTCCAAAATCCTAGATTGGAGCAGCCTTAGGATAGAAAAAGGGAGAGGAGGAGGAGAATGAGAATGGAAACAGGAGATATCGAGGGAGTGGGTGTTCAAAAGTAAAAGAATGGAAGGAGAAGGCCATAAAGCGGCATATGGACTAATGTGTGCATTGCTGAAGAACTGCTAAAATCTGTATATAGGAATAAAAGATTAGTATCTGTGTATATGGGGTGGGAGTAACAGGCCCAGTGTAGGACTTCTAACACTCTAAACAAGATTTGTTATGCAGTAGGACAGAGATTTTCAAACTGGTACACAGGCTGCAATCAGGTGACACATGGGATCGCTTATCAGAATAAGTATCTGTTAAACTGCACTGATTAAAACAACAAAGATGGTGTAGTCAGTATGTTTGAATTTTAGATTCTATTCTATATAGGTTCGTATGCTGCGCTCATCACTATATTATCTGACTGCCATCCAATATTGCATTAAGTGACATGACTAACATCTGTCACATGTTTTTATTCCGTTATCCTCTCCCCAAAGGGAAAAGTGTGAGCATTGTCTTATTTTGGTAGGATGTTCTTTGTTTGTTTAGGTTTTTGTTTTTTTAAATATATATCTTATAGAAGGCATAGTGAACAATTATTTTAAAAAATCAGACTTTTTAAAATATTGGATTTAAAATATTGGTCATCATCAGGGTGGGATGGAATCTCATAACTAATATGAGATGAAAGCTCACAGATGCTGCTATATGAGAGCTTAATATCAGTGAGGAATCCAGTAGTACATCTAATTACAGACTGATTTGAGCAGT